ACATTTTTTATATTAAGGAAAGTTAAATACCTTAATTAGTTAATATTTGCTGGCTTTAACATTCATTTTGCCATACAATTATGTAGAACATTCTAGATGATTTCACTCAAGTAAATTAAAAACTATCACATGTTTGTGAACATCGCGTCAATCAGACGGACCAGCTGCATTGCGCCTTCATGCTCGTAGCGAGTGTTCACAAGGATTAGATTGGATGTTGGACGTCCATTGTTTCATTGCGTACAATGACAATAATTTATCAATGCAAAATTATTATAAACATTTTCTGTAACACAAAATCATTCCACACTGTTTAGTTAAAAACGTGTTTTAACACTTTGATAGCCGCTGACTATTATAGTCGTCGAAGCGGTTAGATCTTCACAATAAATTACTACATTTTTTTCGTAATGTTCTAGAATCTTATCCATTTTGAATTCTTCGAGTTAATTTACGCTTCACCCAGGTGTAAGCAGAGCTTGCTTTCGCAATCTCGTCGCCATTTTAAGATATCCTTTGCTTAATTAAGTTACGCTCCCCGTATTTAATATAAACGTAGACTCAAGACGATTATGGACTTGTTTACGGTTAGTATACATTTTATTTTAATTTGAGTAAATCAACTATTGCAGTTTTATTTAAATAACTACATCCATATTTTTACTATAACTGGGAAACAGTTTTAAAAAGTTTTATTTATTAATTCAAAGTGTACATTAATAGAATAATAAGTTATTTTGAAAGAACACAAACAGATTACGTAAAATTAATTTTTTAGCATAAAGAGAGTCACGGGTGTCACCTAGTACATATAAGTATAGCATAAAGGTTTTATTTATACGAAACTTAAAGAATATTTCATGAATTAAATAGAAATAGGGATAAGGTTATAAGGATCAATGTTCTTAAGGTCCCACATTAGCCTTCTGACCGACCTTAAAAGGAAACGCTCGGTTTCTTTGCTAATGGTTGTATTGATTCCAGCTATTTCTAAAGCACGCCTCTTGCTCCCAAAAGGACCGCTCCTATTAAAAGTAAGGAGTTTTCTTACATCAAATTGACTACCGTTTTCTTTACTGCAACCTTGAAATAATTTAAAAAACTCAAAATACAAATTAACATTCTTGACTATAAATTATAAGCACACTTTAGAAAACGATTCAAATCTGATTTATTACAAAAACCCGCATTTTATTAACTTACTTTCCAAAAGAAGGAAGTTATCTGTTAACTTGAGATGGTTTTTAACTTTTAACTTTAAACATATCTTACATAGATATCTAAGATGCAAAATCAATTTATGTCAACAACGGCCAAATACTGAAACGTCATGTATAGCCTTTAAAAAAATGACGTCTGCAATGTTTCAATCGGCCCTTGCCAATTGTTTATTATTCTTAAATTCACTCTTAGTTTTCTGTTATAAGGAATGTAATTCAAGTGCTTTAATATGGAGTATAAATTTAGTGTAACATAAAATTTTATTGAAGCGCAACGTAAGACACATTTAGAGAGAGCATTTAGAAAGGTTTCTCAGGCTCAGTGAATTTAATGCACCCACGTACGCTCGTAAGCGGTCACTTCCTAACTAGAAATGACGTTTTCGTAATAATAACCTAACCTAAAAAATATCCATTAATTTCTGCTAATACAAAATAACTATTGTAATTATGTTAAAGTTTTATAAATAAATGGAATATTTTCTATACGTATATAATAAAATTGGAGTGTCTAAGATGATGTATATGCGTTGCTGATAGCGAAACTTGCATTTTTTTTTGTATATATGTATGTCTCTCTGTCCGGAAGCCGCGTTTGTTCCGAGTAATCTCCGAAACAGTTATATCGATTTCGACCGGACTCGCTAAAAGACCGAAGAATCGCTAAAATAGACGGGCATATCTTAGGCTACTTTTTTTATATTAATATGGCGTGGACGATGTCGCGGGCAACAGCTAATCTTAAATCATATTTTTGAATAGTCCTTGATTGCTGGAAGATATTGTAAAAATATATTTCAACGAGCGTTTACGTGATGTAGCGTCAAATAGAAACGTGACGAGGAAGACGTTATTTTAAAAATTATTACTCTATAAATATCTTATAGTTCTGAACACTTCATAACAACCCCTCTTATTACAAAACGCACACTAATTGTTCAAAATATTACTATTTTTTAGTAGTCTTTATTGACTTAACCTTTGAAAAAAAATATGAAAATATAAATCCTATAGTTAGGTCTGATGACCGGTTACCCATATACATTTAACCATTCGTTAATGCTTTTAATTCGATAACTTCAATAAATGCGTTTCGAACTACGTAACTTGCGTTTTACTCCATTAAATTTGACCTAAACTTACCACTAACAAATCACTAGGTAACGATAAAATAAATGGAAACTTAAGAAACCCGGCATAAATCTACCAGTTCTGTGTAGTGAACGATCATCCTAACACTGAATAAAAAAATCGCAGAACGTGGTTTCAAAATTGCACTGCGTCAATCAGTTACGACAGCGGCTGCAGTCCAATTCATACGGGAGTGTACCCTGTCTGTTCTACGGATTGGATTGAAGTTTGTTGCGAAAAACACATATTTAGTCTCACTGCGTCCGAATAGAACGAACAATGATTTTTGTGTTTCGACTTTTAAGGACTTGACATTTTATAATTCTTTTTAAAAGAATAATTAAAAAGTATCCGATGAAATAACAAATGACGAACGTTGAAGACGAAAATATCTCGAGACTAGTCACAAAGTTTTTTTCAGGTTTAGGTCCTGCCCCAACACTGGCTAATAGAGGCAAAGATAGATTGAAATGACGTCACTGTCAGATAAGGGAACAAAATCCGATATTTCCATCACATACTTTACGTTCGATTGTTCTCAGGTAATTTACAAATCGGTGGGACAGGTCCTTAGCCTTGGTACTGGTATTCAACAAATTCTTGATAAAAATAGTAGCCCAAATCTTAAATGACTATTAGCTTAGCGTGCTACAAGTGTAATAAAATTAAGTTATAACTTAATGCACACAAGTTAACATGAAACTCGACGAACGATCATAAAAATGCAAACGAAACAATAAAAAGGTAAGCAGTTTTCCATAGTAAGGAAATACCGGTAAGTGTTATTATGATTGTAAATTCATAATAATTTTAATCCGCGTTTACTGCCTCGTTTTGCCGCTTTAATCCTGACTTAAATTTACGATCGAAATTATTATTAATTCCGCGAAAATTGTAAGCGAGTTTTACTTTACGCTTGTAGTACACAGATACGAAAGCGATATGAAGATAGAAAACAGAGTACGCTCCGTACTAGTGAACATAATGTAAATGTGTTTCTAAAATTTATCAAATCTGTAAGGGCTTTGTATGAAAAATTATGATTTTTAACATAACCTATTAACACGTACAAATTGTTAAATAACAAAGCAAAAGCAGATTTGGAAGTGTTTGTTTTAGCCTCTTTTTCGCTTCGCTTTTACTCCTGTGTACAAGAGACTTAAGAAAATCAAGCTTATCTGTAAATACCTTTGTACTGGTGAACACTTAATTAAGCGAGAGCATTTCGTTGAAAATCACTAAGTCAAAGATCATTGAACCTGTACAAAAAATGTTATAAGAGCGGACACACACCTGAAAAACTATCGCACAACAGTTGTGCGATTGTCGATTGTTTCAGCCCATTGAACTGTTTGGTTGCACAAGTAAAAATCGAGTTGTCCATATAAGCTTATAGAAATCAACGCGAGACTAAACAGTTGTGCGCTCAAATGTAATCTGGAGATGTAAAAACTATTCTCGTATATTTAAGTTTCTTCTTTTCTGATTATATAGTTGTAAATGGACTGTATTATCCATATTCAGTTCCGTCAGCATTTATCCCGCAAGGCAACTTTGTGCGGGAGTTTATGAGACGAGGTCATGTATCTCAATTTAGTTTGATTTACAGCATCACTAGACGCTACAGAGAAACGCTTCCACAAACGCTATACATACCAACATACTAGTGCATAACTAATCGCATTTAATTAATACACATGTGTATATTAAAGTACTAAGTAAAGATTTGATTAGGCAATTATTTTGAAGACTGTAATGATTTTATTTTAGATTTTAGAATTACTATGAGTAGTGTAAGTCAAATATAGTGTAAGTTAAATAAAATCAAGCAATAATCGAACCTGGATAGGCGAAAGTTGAAAAGAGTGAGATGTTTTTCTCGCTTATAGAGGTTTATTCATGGTCCGAGTTTCTCGCTTTTGGTGGTCGTCCGCCAGGACCGAAACAATGACTCTAATTCCTAAAGGTTTGTCATCCATTTTCGACTGTGTTTAAAACATCTATATTATTACTAACATCATAAATGCGAAAGTTAAGATGGATGGTTACATGTTACGAGTTTGTAGCCTAATCTGCTGAACAGATCTCGATGAAATTTGGCATAGATGTAGAAGATAATCTGGAAGAACACATAGGCTACTTACTTTTGATTCCATGCGGACAGAGTCCCGGTCGTAAGCTAGTATTATCATACATTGATTGGTAAGCCAAAGAAAATTAAATACCATGATATAACGTTCAAAGTATTTTCGGGGAAAAAGTTGTAAGCCTTCCAAATTTGTATTAACTTCCTGCGGGTCATATAATGTCCCAGCGGCCTCGCTTAATGTAAAATACGTGTCTCATGGGAAATCTATGTGCGGTACAAATCTTAATCTTCCAACAAAACGACTTTCGTCCTAAACTCGTCTATGGAATTAATGTAGGTTAGTGTAAAAAATCTTTTACGCAACAATACTTTTTAGAGGCTTTATGTACATATTGTTAACTTTTCATTCAATCAAGGAAAGTAATAGATGATCATTTCAATTCATTTTTTTGGCTTTTACATACGTTAAGGTAATCTTTTTAAAAAGGAAATGCTTCTTAAAATTGTAAATCATTTATTAACATTTACTACATTTAAGACTAGATAAATATTACATCTAAGATACATTACATTTGCTTATTTTATTTAACAATCCGTAAGAATAAACGTTTATTTACATTTATTTATCAATATCTTGAGCAGTAACATGTATTACAACTAACTCTACCCTTCCCCTAGGCTTGCAAACTTCGTCCAAGTTTGTTTCACTTACTTGTATTATTTCTTTAAAAAAAGTCCATAATCACGTGATTTTCACCTACTTTGTAAAATGTAAGACATTACTAACGATATTGATATTAAAAACGGCATCGATTCCACTAAGCATCCTGTAAAAAGAAAATAAACATATTTTTCTGAAAATATTTAAGATTCATAGGACATGTCCCACCACTGGCTGATAGAGGCTCAGGTAACTTAAAAGTGACGTCATTGTCAGATAAGGGAACTGATGAACTCTGATATTTCCATATTTTACACGTTTAATTGTTATCAGACAATATACTCGTACAATTTATGTGACGTTTTTAAGCTATCTGAGCCTCTATCAGCCAGTGGTGGGACAGGCCCTTAATCTCACATACTATCGTATACTATCGTATACTCATATCTTTAGGTATAAAAGCTAAATGTAGTCAAATAAAAAACTTAAAACACATCGACATATAAAACAAATCGTATTTTTTTTACATAATTTTATACTTAAGCTTATTACAAGTAAAAAACAATTATACCTGAATCAGGTGATGTTTGTAAAGAATTAGTTGATTCTGGTGAAGTTAAAGGCGGATCTGGAAATAAAAAAGAATTATTAATATTGAAAAACCAGAAATTACCATTAAATTAAGGTAAAAGTCAAATCTTAAGTTTTTTCTTAGTTAAATAAGGTAAATAACTTTTTAACTAAATTGAAATTAGGTGAAAAATTAAAAACTAATCTGAATGTTTAATATGTTAGAAACATAAATAAACAGTAAACAGAGCGTCTCCAAACTCTGGGGAAACGTTTTACGTAACAAACGCGACCTAACTTTTAGGTGTCATCATTTATTCGTTTAGAAAACGCGTTACTAACATTATAACTAACTGTACATTAGAAATGTTGCTAACTAACCTCTATAAAATATATCCCTTTTTCTGCTGAAGTAATTCGCGAGGGGAACTTGCATATCGCACAGAATTTCAACCGTAGGAGGCAATGAGTCGACGCTTACGACGGCGCTAGTTAGCGCTGTGTAGCGACCCTCGAAGTTTTTGATAGAAGATTTGGCGTTTAGAGGTCTGAAATAAAAAAATACTTAAAAATAAGATACTCGGTTTTATTTACTAGCTTTGCTAGCAAATAAATTACCTTTCTAACGGTGAAAGAATTTTTAAAATTGGGCCAGTATTTTTTGAGATATTCCAATACATACAAAAATAAAAATCTTTCCTCTTTATAATATTACGAGTAGTATAGATGTAGAGAAATTTTACCAAAGTCGGTGCAGAGAATTTGAATCTTTTTGTGTTTACTTAACAAAGTCTGGATATTTAACCGTTATTAAATTACATATTTTCTGACTTTCATATGAAAAACTGTAAGTACTTAGTATAGTAAAGAATCCGATAGTTCTTTTACTCTACTTTTTATGCAACTATGTTTAAATTGTTAGGAAACTTTCCTCTGATCGGAATTAGAGAACTTTGGCTAGTTTAAACATCTACGGCACTGATTTTATTTGTGTCCAATAGTTAAATTTACTCTGAATTCAATTCAAATTTACTTATCTATCAGTAACAGAAGAGAATAGAGTATTTATCTTCATAGTAAATTTTCAATAACATTTTGGTTTCAACGAAAAAATTGAATTACTAATATTCTTAATTATAGATCTTACTGATAATATAAATGCGAAAGTTTAGATAGATGGATGGATGGATGGATGTTTGTTAGCGTTTGTAGCCCAAACGGCTGAACGGATCTCCATGTAATTTGGCACAGGTTTAGAGCATAGTCTGGAAGAACACATAGTGTACTTTTTATCCCGGGAATATTTACGGTTCCTGTGCGATTCATTAATTTAGTTTTTTAATGTTTACTCGATCATTCCGCAACGGTTCAACATATCCTTTTGAAATTTGGCACAGATATAAAACAAAGTCTGGAGTACACATGGGATGAGGTTCATCCCCGAGAAATGTCCGGTTCCCGAGGGATACGTAGCTTTTCGTTATTTATATGTTTTCTAATACCACGCGGACAAAGTCGCGGGCAACAGCTCGTTATTTTCATAATATAAAGACCTTGCAGTAAGCATTTATTACAATCATAATAGTAGCAAATTATAGAATTTATCTATAATATTTAAAATTTATATAATGGATATAAATATTGATATGGCAGCGTTCTGGCACACCTTACTTCTTTATTTTATTAACTACAAACTTTCGCCAGCAACTCCGTCCGCGTGGAATTAAAAAAAAAAACTAAGTAGCCCATGTGAAGAACACATACACACACCATACTCTACATTTGTGCCAAATTTCATGAAGATTAACCGTTTAGGCTACAAACTCTAACAAACATCCATCCATGTAAACTTTCGCATTTATAATATTAGTAAGAAGTAAGATTGTTATATTCTATTGTAAATTTTACGTACATCAAATCCCGTTATTTTATTTTTCTGAATGGCAAATGTATATTCTCAGTTCAATTTTAATTGAAATATCTCTTAATTCTGTATATTTACTTGTACATATATTACAATGTTCATTTATAGCAAACGAAATTTATCAGGCCGTGCATGACGTGTAACGTGAGGGATTTCATGGTTGGGAGGAACGTTAAACGACTTAGATGCTATGTCGTATGCTTGGCACATACGCTAGCACATACATAGGTATATAAGTACAAGGTACAAAGCCTATTCCACAAGTTCACTAGGCATGTTAATTGGTAAGAGCTTTCATACCTTGTGTAGCCTAATTCACAGATAAATAACACGTATCAATATTGAAGGTTGATTTGGCGCAAAATTCAGTTTATTGTTTGGTACAAAATCCTGAGTAATTTTTAAATAATTTCAATTGTTTTAGAACAGAATAGTAATATAGACAAAGATAGTTATTTTTCTGAATAATGTGAGTTTCTTGTTTGTCATGGACATATGTTTTAATATATCACTAGGAAGTTTTGTTGATGGTTTTAAGGAATATTTTAAATTTGTCCCTGATAAAAATTGAAGACAAAAGAAAGAAAGCAAAGTGAGAGCTTGGCACAAAAGAATGCAAATGTACGCTTTTCATGTCCTGCCGATAGTGCCTACAGGAACAAAGTATTTAAGCGATTTTAATTAGCTTTATTAATTTTCTGAGAGCTTAATAATAACCTCAAGTCTTCTAGTAAAAGAAAATATTTTTAACAGTAAATCAGTTACCTGTTTCCGGCTAAAATGACTAGTTCTGGCTTGGGAAAGACGCCTTCAACGGAACAAATAATATTCAAGTAGTCATCCTGTAGCCGATCTTGTATCATATCGAACCTCGTTTCAGGCACTGAAACAAATTAAAAAAAACATTAATATTATTGTTCTCGTTTATAAATTCTCCTAAGCAAATCGCCTGTTGGAATTTATTAGCAATGTTTTTAAATCGAAATTTTTAAGGAAAATTTTAAAGGAACGTGAAGATTTTTCCGGTTGTTAATTCTATGTGAAAAAATCCAGAAATTCATTAATATTTAAGATATGCCATCAAAAGTCGTAGTGAATAAAGTGGATTTGTATCAAGCGATCAATACGTACACAGAGGACATCAAATTTAACGATTATTACTTCGACTTGGAATGCTTCTGGTGCTGTAGCCAATGGTTTCATATCACGAATGTAATAAATCTTTGTATACTTGTTATGTATGGTAGTGTAAAGATATTCATTTATTTTTGGAATCGTGTACGCACATACATTACATAATTGCCTTTGAAAGACAAGCACTAAAGAAAATCTCTTTATTATTTATGCTCTAAAATTGTTTCTATTATAACTGAAATAATACAAATTTGATAATCAAGTAAGCAATACATTTCTTTAATCTAAACGTTAAAATGTTTAGTTTAAACGACATCATAATGTTACTTTTCCCTACTAAAACTAACCTTATCAGTGGAGTTTAATAGCGGGCGCAGACCTTCGACTAAACTATTGCAAAACTGTTGTGCGATTGTCAATTGTTTCGAAGCCAATTCAACTGTTTATTGCACAACTAAAAATCGAGTAGTGTGTACCGTCATACAAATTCATAGGAATCGAAGCGCGACTAAACCGTTATGCGATAGTCTAGTCAAAGGTGCGCGCGCTTCAATAGTTTCCCATATATAATTTTCGTTTACAGATAAGATCGTATCAAATATTGAATGATTTTATGTAAGCAAAACGGTCATTTGTATTCCATTAGCTTCTTCCCCCTCACCCCTTCACCCCCTCACACCCCAGCCTGATGTGCTTTTGTTTCGTTCCTATTTGTTTAAACGATTAATCAATACAAGCACGTGTTGTACAATCAGAATTGATAATCCACAAAAGGACGCTAATTACGGACAGTTAAAAACGTTAGCAATTGTTTTTGTAATAGTTTAAATGTTAACGATTGTACGAAATATGAGTCAATTGGACAATAGCCATCTTTGTAGTGTTTTACAGTTGGCAATATACAACTAGACTTTGAATATTGCTGGCAACTGTAAACTCATTTTTGTTTAAATGAAGAAATCTTTACACGACCAATTTTTTTTATATTAAAAGGGTGCAAACCAGCGGCGAGAACACCGAGATGGTCAGCGACGTCCATGGACATCCGCAACACCAGAGGAACTACAGATGCGTAGCCGGCCTTTGAAGAAATGATAGGCTCGTTTGTTGAAGGACCATAAGTCGTATTGGTTTGGAAATATCGCCTAAGTTTAAAAGCGGACGCTGTTTAATCGCGATTATTACGATGAGTTTATATGGGGATGCGCACACTACTCGATTTTTAGTTATGCGACCAAACAGTTGAATTGGCTGCGAAACAATCGACAATCGCACATTTGTGCGATAGTTAAGTAAGAGTTGTGCGTGCACTTTTAGGTCTCACGCCTCAGTCTTTTAAGCAAAATTAAATTACTAAATTACAAGTGTAATAGTATAATACAAATCACCCCTGTTAAAGTTTTTAATGTACAAGGGTATAGTCATTCCCTACATCCGTTCAGGTACCAAACAGCCGCTACTCCGGTGCAACAAGCACTGTGTAATATCCGTTTGTTTTCAAGTGAATAAACGCATATCTCTTCTCGGGGATAGAATTCATGTGTTGATTGTTCGTAATTGAAATAAGCGATTTTCTATTACAATGCATTCTAAGAACTTGAAGTTGATATACAGGGTCAAACCATTTGAACAAAATTAGTTAAACATCTATAAAGGCTTTTACTCACTGGCTTTAATTTAAAAGATGATTTTTTTTCTTTGATGATGGTCGTATTAAGTTATCTATCTGTACTAATATTATAAAGAGTAAAGGATTTGTGTTCTTGCATGTATTGAAATAACTCAAAAACTACTTGGCATATTTAAAAAAAAGATCATTATAAAGCTACGTCATCAGTGTGTAATATAGGCCATATTTTTAATTATCTTTATTATCGCAGACGAAGTCGTGAGCAACAGCCAGTTGCTAATATAATACTAAAAGCATTTAGAAATTGTGATACTTACCAAAAATAGTCATAGGTCGTGTCTTCTCATCTTCGGCGAGGAACGTAGATACCACGCAAGTATAGTTGCCTGTGAGTTCAGTACCGGGCTGTAGGATTCTCAGTGCTCGGTGCTGCATGTATGGATTTTGTGACACTTTATAAGTCAGGTCCAACTGTAATGAGAAATATTTTGATTACTAAAGATAACAATAATACATTTTTTATTCAGAGTTATGCAACATCGTCATCATTATCAGATTGGACAATTGATTTTTAAATTCATGAAATATTTTGAGGACAAAATCATTCAATGCTTTTTTAATCCAGTGTTATTTTGAAGAAGAACATAGTAAAATCTCAGATGAGGAGACTAAATATGTAAGTAAAGAAATGTCTATAAAAATACTAGTAAGGCTTAACCCCTAAATTAGGGTAGGTTTCGAGCACCTCATTGGGAACGTATAGTGAGCTGGTAATCATAGTAATATTGTAAATACAAAAGTTTAGATGGATGGATGGATGTTTGTTAGAATTTGTAGCATAAACGGGTGAACGGATTTCGAAGAAATTTGGCATAGACGTAGAGGATAGTCAGGAAGAACACATAGACTACTCAATTTTGTTTTTTTTAATTCCAAGCTGACGGAGTCGCGGGCGGAAGCTGGTGAGATATAAAATCCTACCTTATTCTTCAACAGTCCTAATGCTTGAGGCTTTTGTGGCGGTATCCACTGATACACTGGTTGCGAGCGGTCATTATAGAACCATTTTACCACCAGGCCAGTGACGTTCTTCGTCACGTAATCACAGTCCAGCGTTACCGCGTCTCTCGTACCATATTGAATTACTTCTGGTACACGAATATTGATGATTCGTACCGAATTTACACCTGGAAAATTTAAATTATATGCTGAGTGATGTTACTGACAATTTATTTATTTGCACCAGTTTATTTTTGGTACAATTCTGTGTTTTAAGAGATCTAACAAGAATTCACTTAATAATACGCATCCTGAAAAGAATGTAAATATAAAATAAGTGAATTTGTTGTTTAGAAATTGCGTTGTATTTTTAAAAATATATTGAAATATAGATAATAAGCCTTGATTCTCTGGCATTTTTTACATAGATTTAACACTAACATATGATATTTACAGAAAATAAAGTAGAAAAGTAAAAAAACAATATATGAGCATTCTAGATATTTTCAGCTTCCAGTCTTTGTCAGGTTGTTTTTTAAAAATGTATTGAAATACCCCTAACATAATCTAAAACATCGTGCAAATTTTCATTTTTCTAAGAAAATAATCCAGCGAGAAATTGAAGGTGGATAACCTGCAGGCACATTAGGCGCCCGCTCACTCGGAAGCCTCGTTATTATCGGATGAGCCAGCTCGAATATTGTTTCGCGGTTTTCTATCAACTGCGAACTCCTTTGAAATCCATTCCATTTTAGAATATCGCGTTGCATTATTTTCTTGTATTTCAATGCTGCAGGGTACAATGAAATTTTATAGGGAGACTCGTTATCTCGTCGATTAATTGGATTTTGGAATAGTTTTGTGCTAGTGCTTTATTGTGTTTAGCCATCATACCAATATAATAAATGCGAAAGTTTAGATGGATGGATGTTTGTTGTAGTCTGTAGTCTAAACAGCTGAACGGATATCGATAAAATTTGGCATAGATGTAGATGATTCGGAAGAACACATAGGCTATTTACTTGTTTTTTTTATTCCATGCTGACGGAGTCGCGGGCAAAAGCTTGTTAGGATATAAATAACACCAAAGGAAGCCTATACTACTACACAGTTCTAAGCTAAATTACTTGCTTGTCATTGAGAAATCGAAATAATTTGTAACAAACATGATTTAATTTCTAAAGTTCTACAACGCCTTAAGAGGTAAAAACAATTGCTGATCAGCATGTGTGAGTGTTGCTAGCAATCGATTTCTCACTAAAATAATCTAAAAGAATTAAAATAAACACAAAGAGTAACAACTGGAAGAAAGCAAACGTGTATTCTAGTGTACAATATGAAGCAAGTTGCAGTCATTCACATCGTCACGCTATTGTAACTCGGTTAATATCCGGAGTCGGCTTCATGGCAGTACATTCGCGGCAGACTTTCCGTAATCAGACGCCACCGCTGTTCCGCCTACAATTTGCAAGCGTGTGTGTGAATTATGGCTATACAGGATATTTTTAGAACCTAAAACCAGCAGACATGACTGTTCTAAACAAAACACTACCGTCAAAACTAATGTAATTGGTTTAGGTATGTATTGAAACTTGAGAAGCTAAAAAACAAAGGAAATGTCTATAATATAGGCACATTCTGAGAAGCTTCCGATTCTGTTTGATTTCCATAGCAGTCATGTACTATATTTAAATTGTAAAAATTATAATAACACAGGATTTCACAAGCTTTTCCTTATTGCTAGCAATAAAAACATGGTGTTTTATAGAGGAATATTTTAATATAATGCATGCCTGGATATAAAGGGTGGGCAGTCGACCGTCGCCTGCCGCGACTCGTGCGTTACTTGCTGGAATTATGCATTTTATTGTCTTTTTCTAATACTTAACATGTTATATTCGAATTTGCTAAGAAACGAGGATACAATTTACTTCTGTCTTCATACAAAAGTGAACTAATATATATAAATTCAAGTAAAATTAAATGAGTTTACTTTCAATCTATAACGAAGCTCGACATTGAGGTTAACTAGTCGAAAACATTTCCGTTGTACAATAATTGATTGAATTGAAGACTAGACAAACAGCTGTACAATACAAATAGGGTAATATTTATTAGAGTGAGACGGCAAATTACTTACAAAGAGTGCGAGAGAGACGGGTTCTTAAGATACACATATCAGCTCCATCATGCGTGACGGGTAGACGCGTGCGCAACGTTCCACTTAGCTGCCAAACCGTTGATAATGAGATACAATATTGCACCTGTGTCCGCCATATTGCTTTTGTTCGTTTTTTTTTGCTTTTTATTTAATATTTAAACAGACTCCAGACACACTAAGGATTCTTAGACTTTTTAATATGCATAGTTTTAGACAAATAATATAATTTTAACAACGCAACTATCCGTCGATACTTTATATCCATTCCTGTCAAAATGGTGCACTTATAATATTTCAGATTGACATTGACAGATGTCATAGGGATGGGACGTGTACGGTGGTCTAGTTTTGCGCTGCTATTCCGGCACGGTACCGATTTCTTCTTAACAATTGGAAGTAATTGAATCTTATTGGAAATTATTATTTTAGGAATATTTCAGGAAACTTAAAAAAAGTTTTACTCTTGGAATCGATTTCTACTATAATTTTCGTACCCAAACTCTATATCAAATTTTAAGAAGAAAGTAAACGACTTTTAAAAGCTTACGTATGAAATTTAAGATTCTAGACTTAATTAGAATACCACAAATGGCGCGAGCGCTCATAATTCACAGATAAATGAAGGCGCCTGCTCAGAAGAGCGAGTATCCTGTTCTTTATGATAAAAACCGCAGCAAAAAATCACCTTTGTACCTGCCCGTCTCTAGTGCATCAGACCGTAAACACACGTCTTGGTCGCGTGCTATGAACAAGGCCCTTTATAACGAGTTTTTAAAATAGTATCGGGTGTAAATTCTTTTGTTTAAAAACTCATTGTTTGCAATGATTTAACGGTATTTATTTGATATCGTAAGTCGGAATATTGTGCAAATTAACTTCTATTTCAGTATTCAAATATTAGTATCGCTGGTAACATTTGTTTCTACCTCCTAACTAGTATTTGTTTGTAAAATTCTAATCTTATTAATATTATAAAAGCGAAAGTTTGAATGGATGGATGGATGTTAGAGTTTGTACGCTAAACGGCTGAACGGATGTCGATGCAATTTGGTATGGATATAGGGGATAGTTTGGATGAACACATAGGCTACTTACTTTTGTTTTACGCGGACGGAGTAGCGAGCGAAGGCTAGTAAATTATTAAGAGAAAAGTTGTGTATTTTTTTATAGCAAAAGGGGCAAACGAGCGGCGTGAACATCAGGGTGGTCAACGACGCCCATGGACATCCGCAACACCAGAGGAACTACAGATGCGTTGCCGGCCTTTGAGGAAATTATAGGCTCGCTTCTTTGTATTGAAATAATTCAAAACCTACTGTGCCGGTTTCAAATATTCTTTCACCATTAAAAAAGCTACGTAATCAGTTAGTACATAGGCTGTTTTTTAATACTTCTATTTGCACACGGGCGAAGTAGCGAGCAACAGCTAGTGAATACATATTTAAATTACGTTTAATGTTCGTTTTCTTTTAAACGTTCCCTTTAAAATATAAAAGTGGTTAAATATCCTTAAAGAGAATAACTTAAATCCCATTGTTAAACTTCCACGATTTGTTTCCTCGTGAAATTGTTCAGTGTGAATTTTCAAAAGAATAATTCAAAGTTTCTAAACTGAGTGATCTTGAAAGTGACTCGGCTGATGTTAATAAGGACGGCGCTCCCTCGATGTCACTTTTACCTTTGAATTTTTAAAGTTGCTTTCAGCGAGCTAAAACTTTCCTATGTTCGGGTGACTATGAATACTGCCGCTAACTGAGAACAAAATGCTTTTTGGTTTTATCAACTTTCTTGGATTTGAAATTTGATACTTTGTGTGAGTAAATTGTTCGCAAATTCTTCTTTTTATTTACGGAAAAAAAAGAGAATGTATGTAGGTGGACTCTTCAGTCACTTTGAACTTGACAATTCCCTTACTAACATTAAAAAAACGAAAGTTTATATTGATGCAAGTTTGATATAGTTTGTAGTCTAAACTGCTGAACGGATTTCGATAAAATTTGGTATAGATGTAGAGAATAATCTGGAAGAATAAGCTACTTACATTTTTTTTTTCTTTTTTTTCTAATTTCACGCGGATAATAGCACGCAAAAGCTAGTCATGTTATAAGTATACATTAATCGTTATTCCTAATCCTTTTCATCAAAGTTTTACTTTTGTGATGACATTTTTTTCAAGTTCAGTTTCAAACAGGTATCATGCATCTTTAAGTTTCTGCGTTGTAAGAGTGTGAACTTTCAGAAACTTATCCGCTTTGATTTGCATAACACGTGGGGCGGCGTGAAGCAACGATATTCTACGTTTTGAAGACTTTAAAAGCTTTCTTTCAGCGGCATTTTGATTTGAGTGAATTGAGACATTTATGAATATGAAATGAGATGAATTCGAAAGGATTTTTTTGGTAAAAATAACATAGTAAAAAAATGCGCGGAATCTAATTTGAATCCTGCTTTAGAACGAAATATTGTTAATGCAACTCAAGATAGCATGCCATAGAATTTTCTATTACTCACAATAAACATAGAGTATTGTTATGTTTTATAGCTATAACCGCAACTCAAAAAAGTAGCCCTTGTGTTCTTCAAGACTATCCTATATCTATGCCAAATTTCATCGAGATCCGTTTAGCAGTTTAGTCTGCAAACTCTAACAAACATACAGCTAATCTTTCGTTACATCATTCACCACATTAGTAAGATAAGAATCATGAATTTATTCGTAAATAAGGTAGTTCAGTTTTTTTTCAATGGTACTTCCTTAGCGGTTTGGGCCAATAAATAAGGTATAAGGTATAACTATTGACCTAAAACTTTATGTGATTAATGGAAAAGATTATAAATTTCCAAAATGTTTTTAATGCTCGTAGTAATGTATCAGATGATGAACAGCCTCCGTGCTGCTATCGGTTACTGCGCGGATCAATTTCACTGTAACCTGAGCCGATCGTTTACAATTTGCCGATAAAATGGATATTTACGGAAACATCAGAGATACGATATCATGCTTTTAACTAAAAGTCATGTTGACTGTCCTATTTTATCTAATATTGCACTTGCATTATTTGTATACTGTAAAGTACGATTTTATCTGATACTAGCTGTTGCTCGCGACTTCGCCCGCATGAATTTTAAAAAATTTTTACTCATTGATAACGTGGCTCTTTAATGGTGAAAATAATTGTTGAGTTATTTCAATACATACAATAATACAAATCTTTCCTCTTTATAACATTACTAGCTGTTGCTCGTGACTTCGCCCGCGTGAATTAAAATAATAATAAGGATGTAGCCTATGTTACTCACTGATAACATGACTTTTTAATGGTGAAAGAATTTTTTAAATCGACCCAGAACTTTTAGAGTTATTTCAATACATACAAAATACAACACAAATCTTTCCTCTTTATAATATTTGTATAATAGATAAAACAATGATTGTATATTTTAACGTTAGGAGTATTACTAGGTGTTATTAAGAATGAACAAACATATGATTCTATGAAGGCGCCGATTAGTTTCAGACCCTTTGAGGGTCCATCTTCTAGGCGATTGTTTATCTTGTTTTAATCTCGATCGTGTCGCGTCCTGAAGGTTCTTAATTAGTTTTTAATGTTTGATCAAAGTATAAACAATGTAATTTACTAAAAAGTTGACATATATTTAACAATCTTGTCTATTGTAATATGGACTAAAAGCAATCATAACTTTTATAGCTTAATATTTATAAAGAAATTTCGTACACTAGATGTGTATGCTAGTTCAAACGCGACCGGAATTTGATTATTTTGCTTCCCGCTTACCGCCTGCCGGAGGATTTGGCTAAGCAATATTTTCGGTACATCAACATCGCATCGTTCATTCGATTCACTTATAGGGTTTGCTAACACTGTTACATAACAAACTTTTATTTTTTTAAAAGTACACACTTTTTTCAATAAAACTTCAAACCGAAAATTTAGATAAGTTATTTATTACTCTCAAAAGATAGAAAACTCACATCTAACTTGTTATTTATTTTACAGTTTTTTAATTTGTAGAAGTCAGTGCAAAATGGTGTAGAAAATCGGATGATATTTCAATTCATATAAAAATTAGCTTCAAAGTCTTTGTCTGTTTTCTCATATTTTTTATATTCGAATATAAACGTAAGTCATATCAATTCGTATAAATCGACTTATATATCCGTCGATGTTTCAAACAATTTGCTCTTCATCATTTAGCTGCCAAAGTGTTGGAATGTATCAAAGCTTTGTCAACGGACATTGTTTGTGATTTTCATCGTATATACTGGTTGCAGTTTTTAACTATTACATGACAATCATTATTAAAAATAGTGAGTGTTTTATTTCTATGGTTGCTATTCTAATGTTTTCTTGTACAAAACAGACACTATAGTGTTAAGGATTCAAAAGTTTATGCAAACTTAGAGCGGGCCCACATCTTTGATTACACCGCACAACTTTTGTGCGATTGTCAATTGTTTCTCAGCTAATTCAACTGTGTAGTTGCACAGCTAAAAAAAAACATACAGACGAATTGAGTACCTCCTTCTATTGGGAAGTCGGTCAAAAATCGAGAAATGTGCGCACCTCGATATGACCTCATAGGAATCAAAGTGCGAAAGTTGTGGGATTGTTAAGTCAAAGATGTGCGTGCGCTCTTAAACTGAAAATCAAGTACCACTTACTGGTACTTAGGAACTGTCGATATTTTATCTATCTATACTATTATAATAAAGCGTAAACACACACTTCTTTGTTGCCTAAGATGTCAGCAATTACAGTATATTTTTGTATAATTCTTTTTTTAATAAAATGCCCTTCACCTACGTCACGCTTTAGGCTATACATTTTCCCGTCATTAAACTTAGGGCTAAACATTTTGGATAAAAAGCCTAATGTGGGAAAGAGACCATAAGTTGCTGCCAACATCAAGGAAGCAAGGTTGTCATCATGTCATGTCATTTTGCCATTTGTAATTGATAATTTGACACATGTAAACAATAAAATAAAATTTCAGCGAATGAAGTCGCACAGGAAAAGCTAGTACATTCATATTCAATGAAAATAAACGTCAATATCAACAAATAATGTTTGTTTTTAGAATTCAGTGAATTTAAAATTCAGCAGAAAAACGAAACGAAAGTACTTACATTGTAGAACGAGTATAAAATGCATCAAGCACCACATGTTCACTCCAAAAGTCTTATAATCCTGTTCACAAGCACGTCAACACCTCAAACACAGAACAAGTCGAGTCAAAGTAAAAAAGTCCTTTGAGAGAAAAAAAATGCACAACTTCTCAACTCAACTTAAACTTTCCTCTGTATTTCGACGTGAAAAATGTATTCCACAAACGCGCTCTTGAAACTAAGTTAGCGGCGCGTAAATCCAAACTGTGCTTGTAACCGACCCCAACGTGTGTGGGGTTCGAACCCGGAGTTGTAACTAACCGCCGAAGCAACTGGCGTCCG